TAATTTATAATGCAACTCAACTCTATCTGATCATATTAACTCTCAAGTTTGAATCAGTCTCTAAAATGACTAAGTCAGCTCACTGTAAATACAGACTCTAACACTTAAAACTAAAAACTTAAGGAAAACACTTTAACCTTAGAAAATAAGCAATAAATGCAACATTCAATTATGGTATCATTCATACAATTTCATGTAAGAAATAGGGTTCTAGGTGGAACTGGTTAACCTAAGAGAAATTCTTCAAATAACTTCATCTTCATTGAAAGGCACCATACTTCTAATAAGTCAAAAAAAAAAAAAAAAAGCCCAGCAAGTACAAGGAATAATAAAAATAAATCAAAATAAGTTGAGAATTGATTATTCTGTTACTAATATCTTTTAATTCTGTTTCCTTTGTTTTTGTTTGTTTGTTTGTTTTTGGTGGGACCCTAGGTGCTGCAGAGGCTGCAGAGCCGCCCAGCACTCAACACTGCGCCACCAGGGGTGGCCCCCTTTGGTCTTTTTAAAGCTGAAAATCCTATTATATTATGATGTCCCAAAAAAGGTTAGAAATGGAAATTTGCAATGATGATTTCAGATTACCTAACTTTCATTTAGATATAAACTATCCGTGTCTCCAATGTGCAAAACAGACACAAGCCAGTGTTCACAGAAGGGCTGTTCTTTACCTGCTACGGAGTTCTGAGAAACTACACAGTCAGAATGATAGCAGGTTCAAGCTGTAAGACTGACATTATTTTGTCCAAACACTCATTTTAGATTAGTGAAGAGAGGTTCTAGAAGGTAGATATTTTTGTCCACATTTACAATTGATGGCAGAGCACGGACTCAAACTGGGGAATTCCTAACCTTATGCCAGTATCTCTTTTTTCCTCGTAGTCAGGAATCAGAAAGGTTAAAGTTGTCCAGAAAGTTCCCAGGGGAACCTAATAACTGACTTTATTACATTATTAAAATGGTTAGAATTTACATAAATCAAAATAAATACAATATAAAGTTCAAAATTTTACACTAAAACCTTCCTGCCAGTAAGAGGACATCTAAACTGAGTAGTGAATATCATTAATGACAATGGCCTTGCACATGTTTCTCAAAACTCCCAGAACACTTTGTATCAGGTACGCTAAGTATGCTACATACTTTACTGCATTATTCTCTAAAATCTTTGACTAAACCCATTTCACAAACCAAACACTAAGGCTCATTGCTGTTAAGAAATATGCCTATATTACAGAGCTAAGAGCAATAAGAAACAGGATTTATAACCCAGATCTGCTGATACATCTAAATCACCTCTTGAGCTTTTAGTCCACCTTATATTTTTATACAACAGGTCCTTGAATCACGCCATTCATTCTAAGTCCCTTGTTAAAACTCTAAGGGGAGAAAATAACAATCCCAGCTGATTTAGAAGGAAATTACGATTCAAGAACCTCTTTTTTTGTTATGTCTTTTTGCTTAAACAATTTCCAAGAACCTATCCCCATTATTTAGGGACTTTACTCCTATCTTTCCTCTGTACAAGACTGCCTTTTCATCCTTGCACATTCCAAATTCAGTGAATTTTATCCTGTTTTCTCCTTCCACTAATATTACCCAAGGTGAAACAGTTACTGGCCATGCCTTCCTACCAATACTCCTTACTTTAGGCAGTCATCAAAAGAATGATCCCTCTGGTTTCCTGACCCTTACTTAAGAATTAAGAACAGAAACAAAGTAATTGTTGGACAGCAGAACAAATCCACTTTGTTCTCCTGACAAGTGAAGACCAATCTAGTTACTACCTGCATTAAAAACTGAAGGTTTCAACAATCTGATGAAGCAGTGAGAAATGTTGAATGAACTCCTCCGGCATAAACAAGCTGGCAATTATAATTACTCAATTTGTAAGTACTCAGTGATGTATGCGAGATGTTAATAAAAATTACAGAAGACCACATGGGCATAAATCCTAATCTCACGAAGTGAATATAGTGTGAGTAAACAAAGAAACAAAAAATAAGTAAAGAATATAAAAAAGTTAAAACAAATGCTGAGGAATTAAAGAAAATATAAGATTAAAGTTGGTTATGTCCCCTTAAATATCACTGAATCTTGAAACAAACCAACTAGGTGAGTATGGCGGGAAAAGGTGACAGTCACCAACATTACTAACAACTTCCACAATGATATTAAATTTGAGAACCCAAGCAGAAACCCTCCTCCTCCCTTTTCCCTTCCCAAGTTGCTTCATACTTCTCATCAAACGTGGACGTATATACCTATCTTAAGTACTTAGGTACTGCCCCTTCTAAACTTTTATTCATTCTCTTTCCCACCAGCCTCTCCTTTGGTTCTCTAAATCTTTATAGAATTAATAGCATCCATACATTTCCATGCAGTGCTTCTGCTCTACACAACCACTCCATGAACAAGTATCCCTATTTTAGAGATAAGAAAACCAATCCTAGGGCAAGGAAATTAAGAAATGTGTCCAAAGTGACCTTATGAGTTTGAACCCTGGTTTGCTGACCACAAAGCCAAGACATTTTTCACTGTGACAGTCTCTTACACATCACTCAGTCTCACATGTACTTTGAAGTATTGTCTTACTCATCAGTTTACACATTTGTTTCCCTTGTTAGACACAGTAAGCTCCCTGATGGAAATCAAACCTGATTTCAACCTCAACATTTAGTTACTCATTACATATTTGTTGAGTGAAAGAAGGCATCTCCTCATAGTTGGTATAACTATTTGTTTCATTTCTTCAATTCCTAAATAGAGCTCTTATACATTTCTTCCCTAACAAATTTAATCTGACCTATAAATGTTACTGATGGATTTTTTTGGAGACAATGTATTTCAGTTTTGTTTTGAAATACACACCCACATGCACAATCCTGGTCAGCAGAGAAAATTGTCCCAAAATATTAAAATATCATTTTTACTTCAATCCCTAGCAATGGGAGAATTCATATATTAAAGCTAATCTTTGCAAAACTTTTTACCACAAGAGCAGGTAACTATAACCATGTGGTTTTAAATGACACATGCAAAAGGTAACGCTGATTAATAATAGATAACAGAAAGAAATTAAGCAGTGAATACTAGCAACCTATTTGGCAATCCACTTATTTATGTTAACCAGTAAGTAGCACTATCTTTCTCTTCACAATATTCTTCCACATCTGTCATTTTTGAGACCAATAATCATTGCAGGTAAGCACAGGGCAATTAGTAAAATATTTGGGTTAAATTTAATATTCTTCTTGCCTAAAGTTCAGGTGTGGTATGTAAAACATAGTGAAACTACTTGTTTTCTGATACAGATTAAATACCAAATATAATAAGCCAGCAAAATTTTAATTTTTTTCATCTCAGATACTGTAACAATCAAAAGTGCAGATTTTCCTTAAATGAAAATAGACAAAAATTAGCACTACTTTAGGAACATTTTATCAGTTTTTGGTGAAAAAAGAAGCGATTATTCCTGTAACACCATTTTTAGAAAAACTCAGTAACAAGAAAAAACCCATATATAACAATGCGAAGTAGTGGAAAGCACAAGGGACAAAACGTCAGGTGTCCTGGTTTCCTAGTTCTGATTACATTCCTATATTGCTGTGTGACTTAGGGCTCACTGGCTCAGTTTTTTCATTTGTTAAAAAAAGTTGAGGGGGGCAGGGACTTGGTTATCTTTAAAGTTGTTTCACAAAATTCTGATTGTATGCCACTCCTCTTACTTCATTCGTCTAATCAGTAAACTCAGACTAGCTTCTTTAAGGTCTAACTGAGATATGAAACACATTTGAATTGAATGTAGCGAGTCCATCTCCAACTGGACAGTACAGGATACAAAGGGTAGGCTCCTACAAAATGAACAATGCAGTAACGTTCCAGAAATTGTGTAATCCTAATTTCTGAAGCAAGCAGGTGTAGTCTAGCTTGACATATTTAACACTACGAAGACGTAAAATGGTGCTGCTCTGTTAAAATTTCTGAGGGGTTTCCCCGTTTCTATTGGCACATACTCTGCAGGTGCCAAGGAGCAAAGAGGAAAGAGACCCCAACTGCGTTCCAAGGAACTCGACCACAGCTCACCCCAGCCACCGCAGAGAGATGCAGCCTGACAAGGCCTACACCACAGAGCAGAACCTCCCCACCCCCAAAAGTGCCAGCAGCCAATGTAATGAATGCTTCCGTCAACAACACACATTCCCCTTCCCACAGCAGAACTGCTCGCTCCCAACCGGCCATCTGGGAATGGAACAGGCCGCACAGAACCAACCTAAGAAACATTTTGGGGCCCAAAAGGCTCATAAGAACTACCAGAGATTGCGCTTCCCCGGTGCAAGGTTGTGGGAGAGCAGCACCTCCGCCCAGCAATGCAAAAAAAAAAAAAAAAATCAGTGGGGAGGAGAGTAGGAACCAGGCCGGAGCGAGACTGCTGGAGAAATCAACCCTGTTCTCAGCAGTGGGGAGCGGGAGAATTTCCTGCCTCCGTTCAGAACCGACTTCATTCCCTCCTGAGATCCTACAGCGGGATTAAAATCCACCTTCTGTTCGCTTTCATTCATATCTGGGCTTCCTCCCCGCACCTCCCCACCCCTGGAATCCCCTAGCATTGTGAAGCAAGGTGTCCCCCCCGATCACGGGTGGTGGCGGCGAAGCGAGGGCCAGCGCAGGGTCCCAGGTTCTCAGATCCAGCCATTCTTGCAAGAAGACTATTCCCCGGTGGCCTCAGAGTAAAGTTTGAAAGAGCCGAGAGGACCCGGGCCCGGCCCCTGCGGAGGTGACACTTCCCAGCTCCCCGCAGCTCCGGGAGGCGCGTCCGGGCGCCCCGGCCGGCCCAGCCCGCACCCCGGGAGCGCATCCAGGTCGCAGATCGGGGGGCGGGTGCCCGGCTGGGGGAGGCCTGGCCGGCGGCTGGACCCCGCGCCTCCTTCCCCACTCCCACCCCCCCGCCCGGGCCCGCGAGACAACACCGGGGCGGCGGCGCGGGATGGGCCACTGACCACACATTTCTTGCCCAGGAAGGTGAAGAGGGACTCGTTCTCCTGCGGGGTGAGCAGCATGGACCCCACGTTGGTGACCCTCCGCTGCGGCGGCGGCTGCTGCTGGCCGGAGCTCATGGTGTCGCCGGCGGGGTGGGGAGCCCGGGCCGAGTCCCGCGGCGGGCGGGCGCGCGCGTCCCCTCCTCGGTGACAGGGCGGGAGCCGGGCTCAGGCGCGCAGCATCCCGCAGCCCCGCCGGCGCGGGCAGCAGGAGGCCACGGGCAGGAGGAGCCGACCGCGGGCCGCCTCCGGGCCGCGCCGAGAAAGGAAGCTCCCCGCTCCCGCCGGGCTGGGCTCCGGCCGGATGTCCTCGCGCTCCGGCGACTGCGCTAAACTCCCGACTCCTCCTCCCAGCCTCCTCCCGCGGCGGCGACGGCGGCGGCGGCCGCACAATCCAACATGGCAGCGGGGGCGGGCGAGACCACAGGACGCAGGGCGCGGGGGAGCGCGCCGGAAGCGCGCGGCTGCGGCCCGGCCCGGAGGAACTCACACCCCCCTCCCCGCAGCCGTGGTCGGCCTCGCCGCGCCGCCGCGGCCCCGCCCACTTCCGGCCCGCGCGCTGTGAGGCCCGGCCGCGGGTGCCGGGGTGCGGGCCGCGGGGTGGTCCGTCGGTTTCTCGGGCCGGCGGCAACTGCGGGCGGGGAGAGGAGGCCCGTCTGCTCGCCGCCCGCCCCCCCTCTGCGGACGCAGCCTCGGTGCGGGCCCGGGCCCCTTCCCGGGAATAGTTTATTCTTTTTAGGCGCCGAAGCTGCACGTTCACGTCGCAGTCCAAAACGTCTGGAAGAAGGGGGCTGGGAAATGGGGAGAATGACGCGCTCCCCTGTGCGCCTCGCCAGGTTCGGCCCGAGGCGCAGGTGCCTGGGTTGCCCGAACTTCGGCCGAACGTCGGCCGTGGGCGTGGAGGACGCGCGAGCCCCTCCCGGGGATTGGGGGGGCGGGGAGCTTGCTGCTGGATGGTGCGAAAAACAAACGCACTTCCAAAAATTTCCAACTCCTGTCGGCGTGTCCCAGGGGACGAGTCTGTTTGTAACATTTCGGTTCTGCAGAATTTCTTTTAAGGGGCCTGAATGTTTGGGGGGTTTGGTTGGGTTTTCTTTTTTTCCGTGTCTTGTGAACTGTAGGATAGTCCTTTTATCCCCCTCCTCAGCTTGTTTCTCAAATTACGAAGACTTTTTCCTCTTTTCAGAATTGAGTGTGCCCATTTGGGGATGTAAACCAGGAAAATACATATTCTGGTTTAATCCTTGCGTTGTAGAGCAACCCCGATACAAAACAAACAGGGTGCCTGACTGTGGGTCCTCACCCGCGTGCTTAAAAGGACTTATCAGTGCTCTGCTGCAGGCACACGGGAAAGGTTAATAAAAGGTTTATTTACAAGGGAAGGGGAAATGAGGAAATGTACAGTTCAGGGATGAAAGTGGGAGACAAAGTTTTAAAAGAGTCCTACCCAATCCGCCGATCAGGAATCCCAAAATGGCGCTCTGAGAGCTGGTCGGGAGCCAGGAGTGTGAAGCCAGGAGGCGAACGACAGCGAGCCCCCCAAGGCCCACGTGTTTGGTTTTTATACCCAACCTGGCTGCCCAACTCCACCCTCAGGTCCCAGCCACCCTCCCTTTGGTGGTGATGGGATTTGTCTTTCCCAATGTCTTGATGGCTTTAGTCTGGAGTGGGGGTGGGGTCCACAAAGCCTGTATGGGATTAGCTCAGGACATCATTTCCACCTAACTCTTGGACGTAAATCTTGGCACTTTGTTTGTAAATGTGTGTACCTGAATATTAAAAGTTACCTAAGTTACTGAACTTTAAAATGGATTTTTGGAATGCGGAAACAATTATATCTGCTGCCATGAATTCTAAAATAAGTATCTTCCTACATTAAGCAAATTAGTGTCTGTTGCATAAACCGTGTCTGCTGATGACAACTTCAATAAAGAAAATGTAAATATCTATGTTAAACTTAATTAAGACATCATCCTGTGACAGAATTTGGTAAAAATACTTGATACTAATCTATGACAGCTTTCATTACAAATTTCGGATATACTAAACAGATTGATAAACCACATCAACGCACTTTGAAAATGTGATGAAAATTAAAAGTTAAGGCTGTCCTTAGTAAACTTGGTTAAGCAGGAAAAAAACCTACAAAAGACCGTGAAATCATGTATTCCTGGAAGGCCTCACATAAAATGTGAATATTTCAAAATCAAACTTGATTAATCATAATGGGGGAATTGATTTTTTTTTAAAAGCAAGTGGACTGTTTATAAAACAGTTTTGGAAAGGCAGTAGTAGACATAAAACTCTGAAATTGCTCTGAGTTACAGAGATGAGATAATAAACCTAGAAGCTGAATCCGTTGTCTCATACATCCAAAGTGAGGGGGGTCTAGAATTCGAAACCATCATTACAAATTCTTGAAAAATGCTAGAAATTAGACCCCTAATATTTTCAAATCACGATAGTAGCCAAAGCATAAACATAAAGGCCCAAATTGGATTTCGTCTACCTTTTAGAACCTTATGGACTTTGGACAAGTCGCTTCTCTGAGTCTCTGTTTCCTCATCTATAAAATGAAATAATTCCTATGTCATGAAAGTAGCAAAAATACGTTTACTTATACCTATTTCAAAGTTGTAAAATTAGCCAAAACAGCATAAATAAAATGCCTGATACATAGTAGTTACTCGAATATTTCTTGTCTGTCATTGACCTTTGTTTTGTGGTCTGCTCCTCCTTGCCTTCTGTTAGTTAAGGGAAGAGTTAATATAAGTTTTACCTTTTCTATGACTACATCCTATTTATAATTCTGTAATTTTCTAAAGATATAGTGGTGAATTTGGGGCATACTTTATTAGCAGAATTTCTAATTAGGCTATTATGCCACATACACTGTGTCCAAAATAGCAACTTTTTAAAAAAATAATTCTAGAAAGAATTATATTGGTCCCTAATTAATAATACTGAAAGCAATTTTTATGCTAGAATGCCAGCTTTTAAAATTTGTAGACCACTAAATGATTTTGAAGATGAGAGAGAAAGCCATGTTCAGTCTTGGGAGGACAGCAGCTGTGGGAGGCTGGAGGGTAGCTGAGTGGACAGTGGCTATAAGATTTGGGGTCTGCCCCATGCGGAGAACCCAAGGGTTCCAATCATTTGACAACAGCTTTGTGAGCCTAGACATGCTAGACCCATTGTTTTCATTATTTTGATTTATTTCATGCAGGAAATGTTAAATATTTTACCTGTTTTTACTGTAATTTTATGACTTCTTGCCCGTTTTGTATTTGGGAATGAAGGTAGGAAATTACCACAACAGACAATTTTTTTTTCTCAAACACAAACCATTTCTTTAACTTTTCCTCAAACGTTTAAATAGGACATTTTGTCCACATAGCTGCAATCTAAGTTCTTATTTTCTGCCCCTTCCTTGTTAACTTTTTTTTTTTCTGGACATTTTCCAACTCCTTAATGTTTTCAAAATGTGGAAAAAATAGGCCTGAACATTACATTGGAAATATGACTTCCTTTATTTTTTTTTTGAGCATGTGAATAAGCAATGTTTGAGGTTATCCCCCTTATTATGTGTTCTATTTTCCCATGGTCCACCTATGACCAAGCAGTATAGTACTAGTGGTATTTGTTTCAAAAGTTTTAGCGATTCCCTTCTTTCCTTCATTCTTGATAGAATATACTCTCTTTGGCAGAACACAAGACATCTTTCTGTTTTCTTTGGCAAGTTATTTTTTATCTCTAACTCCTTTTACTGAGTTTGAGAGATTGGATTTGATCCAGGAACTAAGAGAGATTCTACTTCCGTGCAAGTAAGTATCTTGAAGGTTGTAGCTAGGTTAAAAAGACTATAAGAATTTTATCTTCGTGAACATATAAGTGCATGTGCTGTTAAAATATCCATGAATTTAACTGATGATAGGGCTTAAGCTTAATTTCTCCCAGTTGGCTTTCCTTAACACTGTTAGAATCTATTCTAATACTTTTATTTTCTTTGTTTGTTATGATCTTTTAAGGTAAACAGAAAACAGTAGGGCAACTTATTTATGGAAATGAGAACATATTTTCAGATGCATTCCCTGCCGCTATCATTATACCTTGTAAATTTCTCTTGTCCTGGTCCTTTGTTAAACAGTTTTCTTCTTTACAAGTGTCATTGTTTTTTGTACTATTACAAGTCCTCTGAACATCTTGTTCCCCATGCTAATGTTAATAATTTAAAATGTGGTGACACCCTTCACTGCAGGGGAATGTAAAGGTAGCTGCACACAGGGTTCTCTGGCATTCAGCAGTGCTGTAGCCATAATTACTGACATAGACATGAGGCTTGACTGACACAACAGGGTTATAGAGACAAAACAGCAAACCTGGAGCAAGGGTGATATCTATCACTTCTTCCATGCCACCTCCAAATGTCATGGGCTTAACATAGTCATGTTGTAAAGTATCTGCACATTTTTATGTAAATGTTGCATGTAGCAGTGTTTCAGAGAATTTGCCCTAGTACTTGTTCTCCCAAGTTAAATGTTGATCTTTTGTTTTTCATCAACTAAAACTTTAAGAAGCAAGCTAGCAAACTATTTTTTGCAGGGCTTATATTTTTAAGAATAGATAGCTTATTGATATTAGTGGAAAACTGAATTCTTAATCATGATAGTGAGTTAGCACTATCTGGCCTTGTCTCCAGATGCAGAATATATATATACCTTTAAGAAATGATTTGAAGACCTAAATTAGAGTTTCCAAAATGCTGCTCTCTGGTTTTCTTGCATTGCTTTTTAACTTCAATGAATATTCAATGACTCTTAGCTTAATTATTCCAGATGCGATGGGGGAAAATATTGACTTCTTTATTATAATGTGCTCAAGGTTAACCTATGTTGTGGATAAGCAGGCAGATTGGATACTTGTGAGGATTTGAAGATGACATGCCTCACTGAAAATATTGGGATAAACGATAGAATCTCCCCTACCATGTAACTTTAAAAATCAATTTTCAATTTTATAAAAGATCATTTTACCAATTCAAATAATTTAAAAAATAAAATAGCCCTGTAAAATTAGTAACAACAACAAAAAACCAGAAGCTCTATGTTTCC